AACTTCATGTACAAGGATTGGAAGGCGGAGAATGAGGCGAAGATAGGCGTGCGGTTTGGGGAGGTGAAGAGTTCCGGTTTGGAGCATGTGGAGCTGCCTTTGGAACTGAGCAGCGGCAGCACAACCACAAGGCAATCCTCCCTTGTGAATGGGGGAGAGGAGGCCAATGATGCAGAGGAAGAAGAGGAGGAGGTGCAGCAAGTGAGCGAGCGTGCACCGTCACTCCCTTCCCGTACTACGAGTGCTCCACGGATTCGAGCCACACCGCAGCAACGCCAAGGCCTTCAAGTCCCTGCAGCTGAGGAGGAAGGAAGGGGGAAGAGGAGAGTTCAACCCCCTAATAGGCTGACCTATGATGCGCCGGGAAAGCAGGGCAAGACAGCCCTGGCCGGAGCGGCAATGATGGTCGGAGACGACGAGGAGAGTGACTACGAGGAGTGTGCCTTCGCGTTCTTCTCTCCGGTGGAGATGCCGGGAGAACCATCAACTCTCAAGGAGGCTTTGGAGAGAAGTGATGCTGAGGAGTGGAAGAAGGCCATGGAGAGTGAGCTGAAGAGCATCGAGGAGAATGACACGTTTGAATTGGTGGAGCTACCGGAGGGGCGTACGGCGATAACGTCCAAGTGGCTCTTCAAAATCAAGTCGGATGCCGACGGCAAGATCGAGCGCTACAAGTCTAGGCTTGTAGCCAAGGGGTACCAGCAGAAGGAGAAGGTGGACTTCAAGGAGCTGTTTGCCCCTGTGGTGAAGCCGACGACGCTGCGAACCCTATTCGCGGGAGCCGCCATCAAAGGATGGGTAGTAAAGCAAATGGACATCGTAACGGCATTCCTTAACGGCATCCTTGAGGAGGAGATTTTTATGGCGCAGCCAGAGGGGTTTGATGATGGTAGTGGCAGAGTGTGGAAGCTGAAGAAGGCCCTCTATGGGCTGAAGCAGGCCCCTAGGCAATGGTACATGAAGCTGCGCGAAGTGTTGGAGGGGATCGGCTTCACTCCCTCAACGGCCGATCACTCCTTGTTCATGCTTGGCGAGGGGGAGCAGAGGAGTTTCATGGTGGTTTATGTGGATGACATCCTCATTTTCTCACCCTCTTCTGACCTTGTGAAGGAGGTGATGCTGAAGCTTCAAGACAAGTTCAAGTGCAAGGCCCTTGGTGACGTGAGCTTCTACCTTGGGCTCCACATCGAACGAGATGTGGAGAAGCGGTGCATGCGGGTGCATCAACGAAAGTACCTGGAGGCATTGGCTGCCAACTTTGGGCAGAGTGAAGGCCATGTGGCTACACCCTTTCCCTCTGGGTTCAAGTGTGTGAAGGGACCAGAGGAGGAGAGCGTTGGTGAAGAGGAGAGGCGCCGATTTCACTCGTTGGTGGGCAGCCTCATGTATGCGGCGGTAAACACCCGACCGGACGTCGCGTTTGCTACCGGGCAGCTGGCTAGGGTTGTGCAATGCCCTAATGAGGAGCAGGTAGCAGCTGGAATGAGGGTGGCCAAGTATCTTGGCCAAACACCGACCGTTGGGCTGCAATACTCGGCGGCGGCACAAAGGCGCCAAAAGGGCGCGGATGGTGTTGAACCCGGGCGTTTGTTCCTCACCGCCTACTCGGATGCTTCATATGCATCAGAACCAGAGGACATGACAAGTGTGGGAGGCTTCATATGCTGTGTTGGTGGAGGCCCAACTGCTTGGGAGAGCAAGAAGCGGGTTGACCAAGCTTTGAGCTCGGTGGAGTCCGAGTACATGGCACTCTTCCGTGCCGTACGGGAGATTGTGTGGCAGCGGCGTTTGTTGGCTGAATTGGGGGAGGAGCAGCAAGGACCTACCCCACTGTACTGTGACAGCCAGGGTGCCATTGCTCTTGCTAAGAACCCTGTGTTGCATGGACTCACGAAGCACATGAGGGTGAAGTGGCATTGGACGAGGAGCATGGTAACCGCGGGTGAAGTTGAGTTGCGCTACGTGAAGACGACAGGGCAGCCGGCTGACATGATGACCAAGAGGCTGGTGGAGCAGCAGCATTGGAAGTGTTGCAAGCTGGCTGGGATGGCTCTGAACTAAGAGAGCAACATATCCTAAGGCCAACAATCCGAGGGGGAGTTTGTTGGTGCAACCCTACGGTTTGCACTCGGCTTGTTGTCCGTATGCGTGCATGTGTGTGTGTATGGAATGGTATGAGGGCATGGGATAATATATATTTCATGCTTATAATTGTGTGTGAATGTTGAGTCATGATGTCGAGTGTGTGTGTCGAGTCAATAGCGAGTTATCGCAAGACGCGTGTTACGCGGTCGTTTGTGTCTCGCGCGCGGTTTCTATTTTGTCGTGCGCGGTTTCTATTTTGTCCTGTGTCGAACGTTCGGCGTGTCGCAGGTGTGTGCAGCAGACCCATCAAGAACTCAAGGATGAGTTTGTGATGAAGAGCCCGAGCCTTGGTGTCAAGCCTCAAGTGATTTCGAAGCTTGCCAAAAGGGTACACCTCAAGATATTGAAGATAGTTACATTACTTTGTGTAGTGTAACATTTCACTTGGTGTAGGCCCTAGTGAAGGGTAGTTTCGAGACCCTTCGTGGTTGGGGACAGTGTGGCACTGTTCCACATCACTGTACCTCGGCTCTTGGGGTTTGTAGGAGCTGGGAGTCATTCCCAACTCGTAACTCTTCCTATCTTGTGTTCTAAGACTATAGTGGCTGCTATAGTACCGTTCGTTCAAACCGACGCTGTGTCGTCAATTCTTTATCAAATCGTGCAATCTAAATTGCTAATTGTAGACCACGTGAAGACGCTCCAGATCCAATTTGAATCAAGTCATTTGCAGCTGTGAGCAGAACGCTATCAACGTTTGAAGCCGCTGTGCAGAAATCCGTCTGTGCTCTCTATCTTTCGTTTTAGGCACATTCAAGCCTATTGTGACAATAACAAGGTTATGAGTAGGTCCCTTCCCCACTGGCTCCAGGTGGTGCGAGGGAGTAGGTGGAGGGGAGTCGTCCTAATGAGGTAAGCCACACGCCTGGAGATACATCGCGTGAGGAGTAGTGCTGCCACCTGGGGGTCAGCTCGCTCTATCAGCAGTAATGGCTTAGCCATCCCTTCCAGCTGGCCCGAAAGAAACCCGGCTGCTCCGGCGTCAGTCCCAACGTAGCTACCTAGGAGCCGTACTCCGTCCTTGGAAAACGGCACCCCGGGCGGAAGTTGAGTCTGTGTGACTGTGGTTGAACTCCACGCCGCGCATTTCTGAGGGTTATGCATCAGGCCCAGCTGCGCTAATTTGGCTGTGAAATGCATGAAGGCCGCTACAGTGCGGGATGGGTCACCCAGGAAGGTGACGTCATCCGCATACGCCAAGCAAAGCACGTCGGGGTGTGCTTCTGCAGTGTCGCGGAGCGTGGGGTGTATCCCTGCTGCAAACAGTAGCAAGCCGAGTGGGTCCCCCTGCCGCACGCCCCGTTCACTGAGCAAGGGTTCGGAGTTGAATTTGGTGTCCAGGAGCAGTTGCGACGGGTTACCGTAGGTCAGTTTCACGAACGGCTGCAGTGGCGAGAGTTCGGGGTCGTGTAACGCTGTGGCTATGGCATGTCGCGAGATACTATTGAAAGCGTTTGAAATGTCCGCTTGCAGGACCAGGCAGTTGGGGCGGGCATCCAGAAATGCTCTGGCTGTGTGGATTACCGTCTCTGCTCCACCTGGAACTGCCACGCCATACTGAAGTGGCAGGAAATATTCTCGGGCAGCTTCCCCTATGGCTGTCAAGGCTGCCTTGGCTGTCAGCCTTGTCAAACACTCGCCTATCGCAATTGGCCAGGCCCCTCCCCCAGGTTTGGCCAGGGCTATCAGCCTCGACGCCGTCAGGAGGTTCGCGATTGGGCCTGGCAAATTTCCCCCCAGCAGGGTGTTGACCAAGGCGTGCAGGTGGGTGCTAATCATTGCGTTAGTGGTGGCCGCGTCGCGCATGTGCTCAAATGTTGTGCAAGAAGGTCCGGCCCCCACCCCGTTCTCGCATCTTCCCAGAATCCTAGCAAACTCGGCATGGGTGATGGACAGTTTCGAATCGGGTGGCACAGGCCAGGTCACCGCCTCGTGTACAGCAGGTGGGTGTTTCTGGCGAAGCTCCTCCAATATTTCCAGGCTGGGGGTGCAGACCGGCGTTGACTCCAGTGCCAGCACGGCTCGGCGTAGACTCCCCCGTTTTGCGAGCCCCTCAGCTCGGCTGATGACTCCGGTCGCGTCAGGCCGGTGTCGTGACGGTGGGGGTGTATTGACCGCGTCCACCGTGTCCAGGTACAGCTGTTCCCATTCGCCACGCTGGAAAGCTCGGAGCCGGGCCTTGACCCCCGGCCAGTCTGGTCGCTGTGGCGAGGTTTAGCGAAGTGTTAGGCGAGGGAGAAATAGCAGCAGACGCCAGCCCGTTTCGGATTCGGGGTTTCGTGAGAGGTAGAGTAACGGTGTCAGAAGCGCCTGCAAAAACAGCTGGCATAGATTTGGCGGTAAACGCCTTGACAGCGGAGGCTGTCGACTGTCGCAGAGAGCTGCAATGTCCCAGCATGCGATGGCCGCGAACAAGTCCACACGCCTCGCCAGCTCGTATGGCGAAAAGTAGCGGGGGTTCAGAATGGTTTGGCGCGTCGTGGTGTTGGCAGCGGCGGTTCGATTTCGTCGATCGCGGCTCGCCCGTGTTGGTGTGTCGGTGGTTTGATTGCCACCCGTTCGATCAGCATCTGACGGTCGCTGATCCGCTTGCGGTATTCGCATGGTCGAGCGGCCCACCTCGTTTGCTCTTCTCCCTTCTGCCTCTCTCACCCTGCCTTCTCCCTCCGATTCCTCGTCCTTGCTTGGTGGGAGGGATTCTTTCCTATAAGATGGGTCCCTTAGATCTTCTTCTTCATTAGTTGCTGCTAACGCCGTTAAAGCCATTCTCGCCGCTGCTTGGTACCCGTTCTCTGGACCCTCGCCTGTCCCGCTAGTAACCAGCCTCCTGCCTCCGCGACCCCCCTGCTCCCCCGATGGTGATTGCCGGAGCTCCTGAGTCGTCGCCAGAGCTCGTTGCCGCCTGGTCGGCTGTCGTCGCCAAGCCTCCGTCGGGGCCCGAAAAGGTGACCATGGCAACGAAGCCCCCTCTACCGCCGGCTCCGAAGCCCGTGAAAACAGTCGCTGGAAAGACTCCTCCCCTCGTACCCGCGGATCCCGTGAGCGGGACTGGCCCGGCTGCCCCTGTTGCTGCTCCGCCCGCTCCGGCTGATGCTCCTGTCCCCCTCGCTCCCTTGGTTGCGCCGTCGGCGTCTGCTCCTGCTGGGGAGGTTGCTGATCCCCCTGCTCCTGCCTCTGGCGCACCCGTTGCACCGGCCGCTTCTGTCCCCGACGTGCCTGCGCCGGTGTCTGCGTCGTCCCCGCAGGCGGCGTCCGCCACCACTGGCGGCCCGGCCCCGATGGTTGAGGCTCCGGTCGTGGACCCACCTGCTCCTGCTGCGCTGCCGGCGGCGCCGGTAGCGCAGCCGTCTTGTCCCCCGTCGCCATACCGCCGCCCATCTCGCCCCCATTCTCCCGCGCCCCAGCAGGAGCGCGAGTCGTCGCGGCGCCGGCGCAACTCTCCCCGGCACTACCAGCGGCAGGCCCAATGGCCTGCTCACCCCGGTGGCAATGCGGGCTGGAGGGGTCCCCTCACGGCGTGGTGGCGGCGAGGGATACCGTCCGCCTGTGACAATGGCGGATCTTCAGCGGGAGGTGTCGAGGGTCGTGCGCGAGGAGAGGGCGGCGCAGAGCCAGAGCAGTTCACTGCGGGCCGCGCCAGCGCACGTGGCTCCTCGCCGGGCTGTGCCTCCCGTGGTCCCTCCACCGGCTGCTGTAGTTCCTCCTCCTGTCCTTGCCCCATCGGCTCATGCTCCTGCTGCCTCGACTGCTGATCCTGGGTCTCATCTTCGCCTGCCGCCCGTGCCGCCGGTGGCGGGTGTCGAGTTCGTTCCTGCTGGTGGAGGGGTGGCGGGGGCGCAGTACCCTCCATATCTTGCTCCTGATGAGCCGCTTCCATTCTTGGCGGTGGCACTTCAGCCCCCGCAGACCCGTGTTTCTGAGGCAACACTCGGCCAGCTGCACCGTCTTGCAGAGAGCCTTCACGCGCTGCTGCTGATCCAGGTGCTGGCTCACTCTTCTCTCCTTGCGATCCTTGCTGATTCGTTTCATGACCGGCCACGCGAGACTTGCCTGGACGTGGCGGACCAGCTCGCGCAGCTGCTGGCGCCCGCGTTGGCTGCACCCGTAGAGGGTGGCGCTGCGGCAGTGGGACAGCTTGACGAGGCTGTCCGGGGCTTGAGGCGACACTTGCGCGCAGGATCTGGAGCCGCGGCGATCGGCGCAAGTACGCTGGTGGTCCGTGAGCTGTGGCGGACGTTAACGGGCATTCTCCATGCCCTCGGGGCTCACTGGATGTAGATCCGGGCTCCGCTTGTCCCGTTGTTGCCATTGTTGCTTAGGCCGTTGTTGATGCCTGTCTAGGTGCTTATTGAAACTTTCATTGTATGTATGTCCTTGCTTAGTATCTATTGCGTGTGTTTGTTCTTGCCGCCCGTCACGCGCGGCCGAAGGCCGCGCTGTCGAGCGTCGGCCGCCGAAGGCGGCCGGCGCGAGCCGCTCGGTTAGGAGAGCAAATGAACAGAGGACTGAATAATGAGGCTCTAGGACAGGGTCCTAGGGCCTTTATACTAGACTGGAGAGGGCTGGAGAGGCTAAGGACTAGGGCCTCTCTCTCTCTCTCTCTCTCTCTCTCTCTCTCTCTCTCTCTCTCTCTCTCTCTCTCTCTCTCTCTCTCTCTCTCTCTCTAATGGTCCTTGTATTGATAGAGTAGCAAAGTACAAGCATGCAGGTGTTGAGATTCTAGAACAAAACAGAAACCACAACACAACACTTCCTACCCATTTCCTTCTCTAGAGCTCTAGGTAGGGCTCAACCACCGCAAAACAGTCCCCGGGGTGAAGCTCCTGACCAATGCCACCTACGGGCGGGTTCTCTGCTGCTGCCGCCTCGCCCAACTTGAGAAGGAGACCAACCGATTGGGCCCTCTGAAGGGCCACTGACCAGCGCTGCCAAAAAAGGTGCAGAAACTTGGCGGCGTAAAAGGATTTTGAGTCGGCGTTGAAATGCCGCCGAGCCGCAGTATCCGCGAGTAGTTTTAGGAAGACAGGGACTTCCACGCATGGACAGCCATAGGTGTCTACCGCTAGTGGGAAAAAACCCACAGTCTCTGGCCGGTTGGCATAGTGCTTGATTTTCTTATCAGCCTGTTCCCGAGCCGCCCAGCCCCTGCCTTTCTCTGCCTCCCGGTCCCTCGTGCTGATAGGGTCAGTGACGGTGACGTCACACACGTAAACTGCCCCACTGCTTCTATCCGTCATGGTGAAATCTGCGGTTTGTTCCTCGATGGGGCAGAAAACAGCCGACTCGCTGTGAACGGTGAAGCCTGCGTGCTGCGCCATGCTAATGCAAGCATCCCGCAGCTCATTGTGGGTATTAATGCGATGCTTGCCCGTGCCGCAGCGGAGGAGGTGGTTCGGGAGGCGAGGATCTATGATGGCTGTCTGTTCTGCGCAGTCACAGTTCTTAGGCGTGGAAAAGGGGAGGCCCAGCCAAAAACGCACGGCGTTTGCGAAGTGCACAGGGCCGATTCGTCTAGTGGCCTCGATTGGAATCGCCGTCAGCCAGTCCCCGGTGCCATACCCAGTCAGCGTGAACATCCGCTGCGTATGGCCCGAGAGAGGGTTTGGTTGCATATTCCTAGTTGCCTTGACCTGCGCAGCGTATCTGCTCCCGTGCACCTTCAAGCCGAGCCCGTGCTCGAGCCTAACGTCCGATCGCTCTAACCGCTCCTTCTCCAGGATCTCCCGCGCGTCGAGTGGCAGGGCTGCTTCGCACTCCGTGAGCCACGAATGTAGGGGGGTGCTGTCGTCCCAGGGCGCCACCATGTGGTTCTTGGCCAGCGTCAGCACACTGTCTGGTTCTAGCACGAGGGAGGAAAGAAAAAGGGCCGCTTGGGTGAAGCTCGCTGTGAAACCGTAGATCCCTTCTACGAGCGGGTCCGTTATGCCTATGCCGCCAAGTGACGTCGGCAATGACGCTTGTTCCCACACACGCTTTTGCTCGGCGCCACACGTTGGCGCGCGGATGTCGCATGAGGTGAGTAAGGTTATGAGTAGGTCCCTTCCCCACTGACTCCAGGTGGTGCGAGGGAGTAGGTGGAGGGGAGTCGTCCTAATGAGGTAAGCTACACGCCTGGAGATACATCGCGTGAGGAGTAGTGCTGCCACCTGGGGGTCAGCTCGCTCTATCAGCGGTAATGGCTTAGCCATCCCTTCCAGCTGGCCCGAAAGAAACCCGGCTGCTCCGGCGTCAGTCCCAACGTAGCTACCTAGGAGCCGTACTCCGTCCTTGGAAAACGGCACCCCGGGCGGAAGTTGAGTCTGTGTGACTGTGGTTGAACTCCATGCCGCGCATTTCTGAGGGTTATGCGTCAGGCCCAGCTGCGCTAATTTGGCTGTGAAATGCATGAAGGCCGCTACAGTGCGGGATGGGTCACCCAGGAAGGTGACGTCATCCGCATACGCCAAGCAAAGCACGTCGGGGTGTGCTTCTGCAGTGTCGCGGAGCGTGGGGTGTATCCCTGCTGCAAACAGTAGCGGGCCGAGTGGGTCCCCCTGCCGCACGCCCCGTTCACTGAGCAAGGGTTCGGAGTTGAATTTGGTATCCAGGAGCAGTTGCGACGGGTTACCGTAGGTCAGTTTCATGAACGGCTGCAGTGGCGAGAGTTCGGGGTCGTGTAACGCTGTGGCTATGGCATGTCGCGAGATACTGTTGAAAGCGTTTGAAATGTCCGCTTGCAGGACCAGACAGTTGGGGCGGGCATCCAGAAATGCTCTGGCTGTGTGGATTACCGTCTCTGCTCCACCTGGAACTGCCACGCCGTACACAGGACTGAATAATGAGGCTCTAGGACAGGGTCCTAGGGCCTTTATACTAGTCTGGAGAGGGCTGGAGAGGCTAAGGACTAGGGCCTCTCTCTCTCTCTCTCTCTCTCTCTCTCTCTCTCTCTCTCTCTCTCTCTCTCTCTCTCGTTCTCTCTCGTTCTCGTTCTCTCGTTCTCTCTCTCCCTCTTGTTCTTGCTCTCTCGTTCTCTATCTCTCGTTCTCTCTCTCTCGTTCTCTCTCTCTCTCTTTCGTTCTCTCTCTCATTCGTTCTCTCTCTCTCGTTCCCCCTCTCTCGTTCTTTCTCTCTTGTTCTCTCTCTCTTGTTCTCTCTTTCTCTTTCTCTCTCTCTCGATATCTCTCTCTCGATATCTCTCTCCTTCGTTCTCTCTGTCTTGTTCTCTCTCTCTCTCTCTCGTTCTATCTCTCTCGTTCTCTCTTTCTCATTCCTTCTCTCTCTCCGTTCGTCCTCTCTCTCTCTCTCTCTCTCTCTCTCTCTCTCTCTCTCCCTCTCTCTCTCTCTCTCTGTCTCGTCCTCTGCTGGTGTAAGGGCCTAATAAACTTAGGCTATTAAGACGTTATCCAACTTAAAACCTCTCCTTGGGGTCACCTCCAAGGGTCCTTAGGTGCCTGGTACAAGACCAGCCCCTATCCTCGGGTCCGAGTTTGTAGAGAGAGGGATCAAGAGGGACTTAGTCAAAACAGCAAGAGTACCTTGAACGTCGCCCAGCGTGCCGTGCAGACCGTCGATTGGATTAAGATGAGAACTCGCTATATCGAAGCTCACTCTAAGAGCTTTCAAAAGAGCCAAGTTGCCTCGCTAAAAAATCTGCCATCGCAGAGGTATGGCTCGGACAGCGTTTGCCTAGCATCGTAGTGCTACCGTACAAGCGTTGACTCGGTAGCATTCCGCCGTCGCACCGTGTAAAAACAAAATTCATGCAAGAAAGGAATTCCCTTGACTCAAGCGAGCAAGGTTGTCGGGGACACGGGCTTGGGTTGGTGCCGGAGCCGGGGGGGGGAGCAGGAGCAGCGTTGTTGGTGCGAGCGACCTTGGTGGAGCAAGGGGGCGCAACAGGTTCCTTCTGCTTTTTATTTTTTGCGGAAGCAGAAAAATCTTTGGTCGATGTAGCTATAGTCGATGGCGCGTGCTGCTGCAATAACGAGAGCAGCGCCTGCAGCTGCTGCGTAGTCAAAGGGGGGGGGGGGGGGGGGGGGGGGGGGGGGGGGGGGGGGGCGTTGACCGGCGTGATGTCAGCGGAGGGTGCCGCGCGCTGGCGTTTCTGGGTCGTGGGCCCGGGTGGACCTGCGTCAGCGGCGGTCAAGACGGCTGCCGCGTCAGCGGCGGTCGTCGTCTTCTGCGTGGCACGCGCGTGCCTGCCAGGCACGCGCTCTTCAGCAGCAGCCATGCACGACTGTACAACAGTCGCACGTTCCTCAGGAGGGGTCCGAAGGGTGCCTCCGAGCAGGAGGTCGACCGCCGAAGGTCCCTCGCTTGAAATTTCTTCGGCGGGGCGTTTTCTGCGACGATCCGTTGTCCCGGCCGGAGTCGAGGTTTCCGCCGCGTTACCGGGGCTTGAAATATTCGAGTTGTCGCGGTTAAGTGTCGGGTTGACCGGAGCCATCGTTGCGAGGTTGCGCTTAAGGATGTCGTTAAGGAGCGTTGACGGGGCCGTGAAGCGCGGAAGCGACTGAGTCTTCGCCATTGTGGACGAGAACGAAATTAGAACTACAATTTCGGAAATGAAAACGTGGGTGGGGACGAATGTCCCCACGTCCCTCTTTTGTAGGCAAAAGAGGGTGAGTAGTGCTTCGGCGCTACCTTTGCTGTGTTGGCCACGTACCCCTTTTCACAATACACAATTTTAGAAAGTGTTACATTTCATTACATTTTAAAAAATTATCATGCCTTTCACTTAGATCCTTAGTTTTTTATTTCTCTCTCATTTAGTCCCAAGTTTTCTCGAAAAGTGTAATTTTCTGGAGTTTTGCTTATGCGAGGCCCACATTATGTTCAAAAGTGGTCCTGCGGGCAGGGGTTTTCTTATCAGAGTAAAATTACTATGTTTCTCTGAAAATCAGAGTGGTTTTTGGGGGTTTCACTCTGACGTTTCTGTCAGAGGTCCACTGGTGATCTCCGATTGATCCTAGGGAAGGGTTACAGGCACTTTGGCCTGGGGGGTTTGTCAGAGGTCCACTGGTGATCCCCGATTGATCCTAGGGAAGGGTTACAGGCTCGTTGTCCTGGGGGGTTATGGGCGCACTGACCCGCTACTTAACAAGCCCTTTTATCCCAATGGTCTAGTGGTTGGGATTCTGACAGTTAGAGGCCGAGATTCTGACAGCTTCTGGGTAATATTTTTGGAATTTAAGTTGGTCAAACTTATATATAGCTTGGCGTCGCCCCTTGGCGTCACCCGTCGCCCCTAGCGAAAGCCCAGGCCCCGCGGCCCGTCGACCCATCGCCCCTAGCCTCGC